GGCCCCCAGCCTGGGTCAACCCACCACACAGCCCTAGTCAGAAATGAGAGAAGTCAAGACACACACCAGGAAAAGGCATTACTGGCAGCCAGGGTAAAGACTGTATTTGCAGTAGGAGCCTGGAACAAGGAACAGGTAGAGCTAGAATAATGTCAGGAGTCAAAAGCAGGCCTTGAGAATGAGGGCTAGGAGCCAGAGTCACAGCCATGGAAAAGGATTCAAAAAGCTAAAAGCAGACATGTATGTGGGAAACCACATACATCAAAAGTTTACAGACTTACAATCCACCCCTCAACTACTAGGCCTTATCAGGTCTTTAGTTTTTGAAAAACTCTTTAGAGCCACCTCCTAGACTGAAAGTCCAGCAATGCTTAAGAGGTATGGCTATGATCTGCTAAAAAGACTTTGGTCCCTGCAATAATCTTACATATATAATCCATCTTTCATATCTGTATTCTATTACCTTTGAAAATTACCTCTATCATGAACTACAAGAAAACATTCTTTTGTCATATTAAGACTTTCTATCAATACAAGTGGGTAAAGGAAAACTATTGAGTCAGATTAGCTGCAGTCTGAAGCTATAATGAGAGCTGTAATGACACACACACCCCCGACAATGTGGGGAGTCCACCTGAGATACTGGTTTGCAGTTGTTTGAACTGTCCTGGCTGCTCCAGCTGTTACCTTCATGGCTAGTTCAGCATTCTCTCCTCAACCTGGTATCTGACTGCTACTCACTTCTTGTACCTTAGAACTGTTTGGGTGGCAATAGCACTGCTGCCCAGAAGAGGGAGAAATGTGTCACTGCTTTCTTGTCCTGCTGATACCAGTCTTCTAGGACTTTTAGTCCTTGGAGAGACAGTAGAAAGTATTCTCTGCCTGGGAGAACAGCCCAGGAAAAAAAGAGATGGTGTTTGTCTGTCATAGGCATTTAACGCTTCAGTGTCTCAACTTTGATGGGAGCTGCTTCCCTCTTTCAAGAATGTTAGGAGGGATACATTATTGATATGATTAAAAACCCCTCACATTTTGCTCATAACATCTGGCTGGTGTTATACTCTAACCTTTCAATGTAGGAAGTAATAATTTTTTCTCATTATGACAGTTGAACTTGACACTTCCTCCTAGAACCGGACAATTCAGTGAATCTTACATTTTAGGCTATGATTCCTCAAGTTTGCCTTAAAGCATTGTTTTTTCTGTGTGGCGATTTATGGTTTTATAGGATAGGATACATCATAAGTTTACAGAAATTTGGATGTGAATCCTGATTTGTTAAGTCTAAGTAACCTCTAAATAAACCAGGAGTTTCAAAGAGATGACTCAGTGCTATCACTTTACACACTTCCCTCCTTTACCTATTGGTTCTGCCTTAGTCCAGGCAGCCTGAGCAGAAGCCTTTTCCACTACAAAGGATATTTCTGTTGATTCAAGATGCAAGAATATTAGGACAAGTCTTTATGGGAAGAAGATTAGAAGCTAGGAGTTGGTTGTGGGTTTTTTTGTTGTTGTTGTTTTTTCCCCCTGTAATTAACAGCTTCTTCACAAGAAGAAGGATGTCTCCTCTCTTCATTTTGATATTTTGTGTACTGCTTTGCAGACAACCCCCCATGACCTTGATGATGTTTTTCTATACCAAAATCTAGTTTTTGTTAAATAGAATTTTTCATCCCTTTCCTAAATAAGCTTTTCTGGAAGAAATGTGAAGAAACAATGAGAGATTGTAGAACATTAAAGGAAAATGAAATATGCAAAGTTTACACATTAATCTACATAAACTCTTCTTCCAACTTGTGATTTCGTTTGGCACAGAGAAGGTGGAGTCTATAATGATAATTTCTTTAATGGGATTTGCAGACAGTTGGGGCGGGAGGTGTGTCCTCCTCTATAATACCTTCCCAGAGCAGAGTGTCTTTTAGGGCACGTTCCCACATGTTCACTCACTGAAAAGGTGTTTCGCCTGACTTGTTCAGCTGTCTATTTCAAAATTGCTTAGATGTTGATTTTCAGAGGAATTCAGAGATATATAAGGAGGATGATTATGCCTAAATTCTGGACTTCAGAAGCAAAATACTAGAAGCCTAGGATATTGATGTTCTATGAATTTTTCAGTGCTGTATAGAGTCTTTGTAAGGGGTAAGGCTGCTGGTGAGCTACTTCTAAATCAGACACACCTTTGGGTTGGGCTATTTTGGAAACTCAGTACTTGATGAGGCTCAAGGTATGGTCTGCTAGAGACAAGTAATTTTATTTTGTGTTCTTACATGTACTTTGATCAGCTGATGCAGCTGACAGACAGTCTCCTCTGTAAGTAACAGACTGGGGGCAGAGGAGTGGTGACCTGTAGTGAGCCTTCCCTGACTCTTTTCAAAGTAGGGCTTGCTGGCTTTCAGGCAGCAAAGCAGGAGAGAAAAAGGCACGTGCTATGGGGATACCTTTATTTGGGGATAGCAAGCCTTTCTATTTCCGGATTTGGAATGGACTAAGTGAGAAGTTGCAAGGCAAAAAATCCTGGGATAAACATCTGGATGAAATCTACTTACTCCAGCAGAAAAGGTACAGTGCATTTCAGTCGTCTTGTCTTCCCTTTCTTCTGCTGCCCTCTCCCTGCAGCTGATTCTCACTCTTTTCCCTTAGGCGTTTCTGCCAGTAGATAAACTTTAAACAACCCTGGAGCACTTTTCTCTATCAGATTTCTTCTTTCAAAGTGGAATGCTTCTGGAGTTCCAATCTTATCTGCTTTCACAGGTGGGTTTACTAGGTTACAATTGAATTACCCTGAGTGCAGGACTTCAGTCACAAATTACTAATGATATACTCTTGTCTTTTCTGCTTCATTGGTAAAGCTCACAAGAAAATGCATGAGGCATTGTTTGGTTTTTAAAAATTATTATTAAGAGTGTGTGTGATGTATATGCTATAGTCAGCTGAAATTATGGCTTTTTTGCAAGGATTCTGTTTTCTGTCTCTCTAAAGGTTGCCCTTACTGTGGGATTAGAGTGGACTTAATGTTGTTCCACATTCTGGTGGTCAGTCACTTCCTGGGTCGGACTGCTGTTTCTCACTCCTGTGGCCCGGGTGTCAACATGTACGGTGACTCCTCTGAGACCTTACATTATCAAGAAGATTACCTGTGTCTTCACATGTAAATACTGAATCAAGGCTGTTTGTTACTGCTGTGCAGCGTTGCTCCTTCCACACACAGGAATGCAGGAGTATTCATGGAAATCCAGCTGAATCTGTTTTTGATTGTTCCTTGTCACTTCTACATGCACAAATACTGCAGTACTCAAATAACAAATTGCTTCCAGTCCCTTGTAAAATTTGCTTTTTCTTTCCTCACAAAACCCTGAACATCTCTGAGGACAAAAAGGTGGCTGTGTGGGACAAAGTCTATCTATACGTATGTATATACACACACATATATGTATAGAAATAAGTAGGATAGTACTTTAAGAGGGACAAATGTACAGATCTGTCTTTAGGGAAGGAACTTACACATATCATCATCTAACTTCTGACCAAATAACAAAAGCCTGTTTTATTTTACTTTGGAGTAGTAGGACTTAAATACACTTAAAATGGGAGGGACAGTGGGAACAATAGTGTCTCCATAGAATGCTGAAGTGTTTACATTTTGGTATGTTTATGACAAGCATCACAGGTACCTGAAAATAAGTTCTCAGTGGATTCTGTAATATCTAAATGAATGTGTGCAAAAGAAAAGTATAAATATATTAGTATTTTTAGAATTATGACATTATCTTCACATTTTTAAGTCATAGACATGTGGAAGGGACCTCTGAGGGTCTCTATCTAACCTCTTGCTTGAAGCTGGACTATTGCCAGCATTAGATCACATTTCTTTGGCTTTGTCTAGCTCAGTCTTGAAAGTCTCCCAGGACAGAGATTCCTGTGCATCTTTAGGAACCCGTTACAGTCTTGTAGTGACCTCCTAATGAAAAAGGGTTTTTTTCCCTAACGTTCCAAAATCATAATTTGATGCTGTACCCCCTTGTTTTACCATCTGCTGTTACCAAGGAGGGTTTGGCCACTTCCCTTTTGTTGCTCCCTTTCACATAGGCTGCTATTAGATTGCCATTCCACTTTGTCTTTGCTTGACAGTCCTCTTTAGTCATGTGCTACAGGCCCATGAACATCTTGTGTTTTGCTGCTGGTAGAGGAAATCAGAAAAACTGTTAGGCGTATAAACCCATCCTCATAAACTTCTCTTTGATCACTACAGTGCAACCCTAGTGATCGCCAAAACTAACATTTCTGTGTTTCTTTGTAAAACTCTGTGTAACAACACATGTAGTACATACGATATCATTGTCTGTGAAATCGGAGTTGCATGGACCATTTCTTCATCTTAGTATCCTATTTTCCCTCTGTTATCCTACTTTCCTTTCTTGTCCCCAGAGATGCTCAGAGTTTGAGGAGAAAGAAAATGAACACTTTGCAGGGGACTGAAATCAGTTTTATTGCTTTTGCATTCCTGATTACGTACAGATAGAAAAACACAACAGGAAAACCTTCTGTGGTGACTTGTGTATGGGAACTACTCTTATAAAACCTTTGCTTTTGTGGAAAACCTGTTATAAGACAAGAGGGCTTTTACTTCATCCTGTCATTTTGTTGTGTGGAATTGCAGTGTTGTGGGTTCAGCTTGAGTTCTTCTTAGTGTAATGGTGCTGGAATACATACAGTAATAAGCAGCAATTAATTTCTACTATTATCTTATTGAAAGGCAGTGGTAAATATATTACTATTTAACTAGTATGCTCTGACTGCATACAGAAAGTCTGCAAGAGAAGAACAATGCTTTTTCCTGTCCTGTAACTGGTAGTGATAATACCTGAAAGATAACTGTTTTGGTAGTTCTTGCCTTCACTGGAATTGCTGTTCATTCTCTTTTTTCACGTGCAATAGTTCTTTCAATCTTATTGACAGTTGATGTCAGCATTACCCTCAGTGAGGGATTCCTTTGGCTTAATCCTGCACAGTATAACATTTCCCAAAGGGACATCCAAGTTCAGGAAATGTGATACAATCTCCTACTATTAAAGAGGACTTTGAATTTATTTTACCTTACTCTGCTGGTTTCTTCTGTTCAAGAAAATAGCTTGCAGCTCAGTGTGAAGTCCCAGGGACAGTGGTCACATCTCATATGTCCTTTCTAGAATTATCTTTGGAAGTAAACTCTGGGGGAAGAGAGATAAATACTTATGAAAATTCAGCCCTGATAGAGGTGAAGAGGAATCATGTGCCTGTCTCAGTCTAATAGATCTTCCAGAAATTATGAAAGCCATTGCTTGCTTGATTTATTTATTTCTTTTATTCTGGCTTTCAGTATAAAAGGTTCTAAGCAAATGTGAACAAAATCCCCCTAGCATGTAATTTTAGAAATTCCACCATTTCAGAATTGCACTGTTCATAAAAAATAACTAATAAATAAATTAGAGCGAGTGACTACATGGATCCAGGAAAATTATGTTACATTTTTCTTTCTGCTATTGCCTGTCTCTATAACTTTGATTGATATCTATCTTCTGTGTGTCTCTTCTCTCTCACAGCTGCTGCTTAGGTATTAGTGGTATCACCTGGCCTTTGTGGGATGCTCTGAGGCTTAATTATTCTAATGACCATAAAACGTTTAACTGGTGTGGTACATTAAGAAAGAAAAAAAGTATTTTTACACATTAATTAACTATAGAAATCTGTGTTATGAGAAATAATGCATTAGAGGTGCTTGGGGCAATTTGCACAACTTGCAGAGAGCTATGGTCATTCCAAACATGTTGCAATAAAAACTTTACATCCCCTTTAGTTTCCAAATTTTTGATGCCTCTGTAGTCTCACAGACATATTTGTGAAGTGCTTTTCTTACCCTGAAAATAAACATGGCACAAATAAAAAGTTGCTGAGCATAATGCTCTTAAACTGAGTTTAAACTGCTTAACAGTTGTACAGGGACACAGAGAGCCTTCAGCTTCTAGACAAATCTTTCTCAAGCTGGTAGTGAATGAGAGATGTCACCATAGTTTTGCTGTTCATTTGTCTAAACAACATTACTGAGTTTTCAGTGCACAAATTAATGTAGGACTTGTCCTGTCTTAAAATCCACAATGCCTATCAGTATTAATTGGTTCCTTTGCTCCCAAAGGTGACAGTGAAATAAAGATGCCAGCTCCCAGTTCCGCAACTTCGTTTGTAGTATGTTTCAATAACAAGTCAAGATGCAAAGAACAGCCTGTTGGAAACTCTGCTGCTGCAAGTGAAATAAAGTCAAAGGCATCACTGGCAGCATTTCTGGTCTTCTCCTATCTGGTTATACCTTCATCCTAATGGAAGTTTTGAGACTAATAATGGAAAACAAGCCTCCTTAATTTCACAAGTGTAAAGGTCCTCCACAACTCATTTCCCCAACAATGCACAGACACACACATATCTCACCTCAGTGCCTAAGATGTAGCTAGGGTCATAGATTTAGAAAGGCTGTTTGCCTTCTTAAACTTGGTGGGTTTCCTTGTGAATAAGTAAACATGGAATTTGTGCTCTGAAAAACCCCCACCCTAAATTAAAAGGTTAGAGAAAGCTTACTAGACACAGAGTGAGGAACACAACCTAGAGTAAAACTGCAAGAAAATCCCTGTTGAAGAGGGTTGGAAGTTTTGATGCAGGATGAGGTTATGTTTCAGAGAACAAATTTGTTTTATGAATAACTCAGTGATAATAAATAATAGCTCACATTTGCTGAACTGTTTATCCAGTTCTAGCATGAGATTATTCTTAGGATGGTGTCAGATGCAGAATTAAAAAAGGAGATTAATGCAAGGAGATTGCCCTGCTGGAAGTGACTGAGCAAGACTTCTGTGCTTGGTGTGGTAGATAGCTAAATATCTGAAGGGATAAGACTTCCCTATCAATTTCTTGTCTAGTAGCATCAGCAATTAGTAACCTGTTTGTTTCCAGAGAAGCTGTTTACTGTCAGCTGAAGGGGCTTCAACATACATGCACAAGAGATTCCAGTTAATTTGCTGAGTCTTGCTGTCAGTGCTGAAGAAATTTGCTGACCCTGTCCCTGAGTTGATTGTCTCCTTTATTATTATCTGTCTCCTTTTCACTTTGTGCTATTACTTCCTAACTCATTCTTTAGCATCTTGTTAGATGATAGCATTGATCCTCTTTCTGGCTGGTTAGCTTCCACTGAGCACTCCTCTGCTCTTCTGAAGTCTTGTGCATATTTATATAAATATACTAGCAGAATGAAGGGAGAAGATGAATCTCCTTTGGCAGTTTGATAATGAAGTGTTCAGCGTCGATATTCCGCACAGCACAAAAGGGAAAGAAAAGAAAGCTGAAATAATATCCTGATGATGAATTTATAGCTCAGTGTGAAAGAATCGCTTTAGACCCTCAGTTACTGACATAGGTATGGGGATAAAGCATGAAGCTGGCAGATGCCAAACTTAAACTAGAGCAAACAATAGGAAAATTCCATACAGTGAATGACTCAAGTAGTAGAATCTGAGAAGGGAAGAGTAGAAAGAGATGCTCCATTGCAGGTCTGGTGAGCTCAGTCTTGAAAAACAAGCTTCAGATTGTTTCTTGTCCATACAGTTCACATATTTAAGATATTTCCTTGTTTTAAAAGAATAACCCTATAAATCCAAGTTCTTTTTATAACAGAGGTAAGACTTATGGTCCTGTCCTTGCATTCTTTATCTCTTCATAAGTGTAATGAGCAGGATGCACTCCAGAAGAATTACTTAAAAGGCTGTAAATCCAAAAGAGTACATATTACCAGCAGAAAGTGCTTGTGAAATCCTTAACCTTGTTTAAAGCTACTTTACATGACTCCCTCAGTCAGAATCTGACCTACATTCTGTCTTCTCTTTGTTTCACAATGGATTTTCGGGTGTTCCTGGTTTTGTCCTCAGCTGTACTGGAAAACAACTCACAGCTTCCTGAGCATATCATTGAATCATCTGTTAAGAAAACTGACCGATAGTAATAGATCATCAAGGCTTACTAAGTGCCTAAACACAGCTGCATTCCTTAGCTCAGTAAGAAGAACCCAGGAGCACTTCCAGGTGTATACTGTTGTAGTTTTCATTGTCCATCAGAACTACTGGTTAGCTATGTAGCTGTGCTTATCCTAAACTGATCCTACAAGGGAACATCAGTACTGCCTAGTGTTAAGGACCTAACTTAGCTGGCTAAATTAGGAGCTTAACATCCCTTGACTCCATAGCTGATGAAGAGAACAATTTACAACAGGAGCTTAACTTTGATGTGCTGAATTATCTTCTCAGAGTGTCTAAAAAGATCTCTGCTGAATCATTCTCTAGAAGCCACCCTCTTCATCTAGTGACATAATGGTACTTTATGGAAAATAAGCATCTACTCTAGGCAGCTCTGTTAAGAGACTAAGTTACAGATTGTACCTGCTGCTGCTTTGACACACAGGAACTAGAGTTGTAAAATGTAAAACTCATGCTGTGTTTGATGAGTCAGGAAGAGAATTGTTTGAATATGCAGATCTTAAAGAAATTAAAATGTTTTGAAGGTTCTAGATTCAGGTGAATCTTCATTTTATTTTTTTATATTAGTGATTTGGTTCACCTAGTATTTGACATTTATATTCTCAGCACATTGCTGTAATGTATTAAAAATGAGTTGATAATTATAATGGTATGTTTTAAATGAGAGTAAAATGTTTCCCCAATTATGGGACAGAAAACTAAATGAGAGTAAAAGCATATGGTATAAGCATGTAAGTCATGAACCTTTGAGACATCAGAGGCAGAATGCAATGACATTTACCAACACTTCTGGGTTCTTCAACAGCTTGCTCTTTGGTCTGGGATCTCTGGTTCTTTAAGCCCAGTTGGAGGTTCCTACAATAAGTAGAAAGGTTTGACAATTTTGCCCTAAATTTCTGAAAGCTGAGTATAGTAGTTATTAGGTGTCTCCCTCTTAGCAGGCTTGTAATTTAATTAGTTGTTTACGAGGGCTTTGGAGAATTTTGTGAGAAAGGTATTGTGTTTGTGTCCTCCCACGTTGTCTCTTGCCCAATCCTTCCTCCTCTCTGAGGTCATTTGAGGGATAAAGGCCTACCCAGTAAAGCATCAACATATTAATTGTAGCATTGTTTATACTATTGAAACCCAACCTCCTTCCCACTTCCTGCCCCTGAAACTTACATTCTCCAGGAACACGCAGTCTTTCTCAGCCAAAATAATGGCAGAGGTGGCAAGCTTGCTTCACTGATACTGAATCTTAGAACTTTTGCTCAGAGTGCCTTTTTATTTTGTTCCTATTTGTTTGATCCTAGATGCAAAGTTTGCATCACATAATCTTGTAATTAGCAACTAACGCAACTGATGCATGAGTAAGCTAAAGAAAAAATTCTTCTCAAAGCAGCAAGGCTAAGAGTTTGAAGGACATATAAAGATATCACAGAATGGCTCCCTGGTTTGTTCAGGTGGTTCTTTACATTCTGAATGTTTTTATTTCTCCTCTTCAGCATTTTTCTAGTCTAGTTTCTAGTAACTTAGATAATGGCATGCTGTTGGTGACAGGAAATGATCCTTTTATGGAATGATAAATATAATGTTCGGTTATGGCTTTTATTACTTGTAGCCCATGCCCATTAATTTAAACTTATTCAAATTATTCCTATTTATCTGTGTAATTCTGATGCTTCTCTTTGTTTTGCTTTATCTCCCAAGTTCTCTCATGCGTGCCAGTATCTTTCTGCAGTAATGGTGTGCAGAACTCGCACATTTCAAGTGGATTAAATCCAGAGATAATGGCATATCAGGTTTTTTTTGTTCAAGATTCTATTGTTCATAAAAAAATAATTTAAAGCAAGCAATATGTACCACAGAATTTATGTTGCCTGTTTTCCTATGGCTTTATTGTTAAATTACCCTGTACAAAATAAGCACAGATTCTGAGAAAACATTTTGTACAATGGGCCATTTATATTCTCTCTCTCTCATTCTCTGATGTGGGTTTTCTTGTGGCTTATAATAGAGTTATATTCATAGATAATGTATTCTAACATCAGTGTTATCACTTAATGCAAAACACCTATTGCTTTATATTGTATTTTCCCTATAAACTGTATCCCCAAAATCTTGTAACTAAATAATACTACAATACAAAGAAAAATCTGGAACATCACAAGGAGAAGGCATCGAATATATTTCCAGGTATATGGTTTGACTGAGGTATTTCTCGTGCATGTGTATGTGTGCGTCTCAGACTGGGGCTGGTAGGAAAATGAGGGCTGATATTCTCCTTGTTCATATCAGCTTGAATTTGTCATTGTTCTACTGTGTTCGTTAGACTTATTCCACATCATGGATTACAGCCTGACCTGAGTCATGCCAGATAATTAAGAACAATTTAAACATCTGTACTATAGGAAAGCAGAGATGAGTTAAAGCACAAAATTTGCATTTGAACAGAGATCTAAAACTGAACTTACCCTATTTGGAGAGAGGAATTTCTGTCTATTTTGTAATGAAAATTCATGAGGCACCGGCTGTTTCTTTGGGTTTGAGGGTCTTTCTTCCCCTTAAATCTTTTGCTCCTGAACTTTAGCTAATTAGAATTTTTTATTTGTATAAAAACAAAAGTAAAAAAAACCCACCCCAAACCACTTCTTATTAATTAAAAGATAAATCTGAAAATAATCAATATAAAAATATTTACCCCAAATTAGTAGATTTTGTTCTATTTTTTGTCATTTCTGGGTGGCCATCTCATTGTTTTGAACACTGGCAAAGCTTATTTAGATGCTGAGTAAGCAGGCATTGCAGGTAACTCTTTGCACCCTTCCTTCAGGTACTTACACACATTGATAAGAACCCCACCCGAGCCTTCTCTTTCCCAGGCTAAACAGTTCCAGCTCTCTCAGCCTTTCCTCATATGAGAGATGTTCCAGTCCCATAAGCATCTTTGTGGCCCTTCACTGAACTCTCTCCAGTAGCTCCATATGTCTTTTGTACCGAGGATCCTAAAACTGGACACAGGACTCTAGGTATGGCCTTACCAGAGCTGAGTAGAGGGGGAGGATCACCTCCGTTGACTTGCTGTTTGCATCAAAGGACCTTGCTGTAGTGAAGTTTTGTGACTGTACTTGTAAATTCTTCATCAGCCCCAAAGGATCTACTGAAATAACCAAGAGCCTCATGGAAGACCCAAGGGCATTCTTCAACTATAAGTGAACCATTCAGTTTGGAACTTCTTTGATGGCATGCTCTTTCCCAGGACAGACATACATATCAGTTCTTAACAATTTCCTCAATTTTCTCAGCATCAAAGAAAAAAATAGTATAGCTAAGCTTTCAAAATTTTCCTCATAACTTTGTATGATGAGGAACTACATTTCAGAGCTCATTCTTTTAATTATACCATAGGAAGTGTTCCTGTGACATGGGGAATTCTTGTTTGTATTTTTTCTTTTCCATCCATTATGGGAGTAATTCAGATGCTGACCCTTTTTTAATTTATTGTGCTGTGTAAAAAAAATACGGCCTTTTTCTGGCTCCTGAGATAACTAGTCTACTGATAGAAGGGGTATCAAATGACCCATCGTTCGCTATCTTCTGTGCCTCAAAATGTAGGCTATATAAACCAGAAGCATTTTGGTTATTTGTTTCTCCTATCTTTCCCTCTGCTGCCACCATATGGTTAAGCGTCAGTAAATCAAGAGATGATCAACTACCTGAGTTTTTAGCGCTGTATTTGTCTGCTTTTGCTGGGGCTTTTGTTTTTGTTTCTGGTTTTTTGTTTGGGTGGGGTTTGTTGGTTTTTTTTCATTCAAAGAATACCTCAGATGGTAGGTGTGTATTACTGATCTTTCAGTGACAATGATGTTGAAGATACATACTGTCGCAAGCAGAAGCCACGATAGCTCTGGAGAGAGGCACCATGTGTTTGGCTGTATTTCTTTATCAGCCACTTTCTCTTAACTGCAGGATCTGGGAATCCCCACTCCTCCAGGCTGCCAAGGAGAACAACCTCCCAGCCATTACAAAACTTCTCACTGACGGAACATGTGATATCTATCAGAGAGGTAACTTGATTGTTTGCGACAAATGGTTTTCTGCGGAAGGCAAGAGCCTGTTACAATGAGTAGTATGTTTGTTAGTTTACTAAAACATTTGCATTAGCAGACTCAAACTACTTAACTGTATGTCAGCAGCTTTGCAACAAAGTGAGTTTTCTAACTTGGAAAGCTTATCAAACCCTAAAGGAATGGTAAAGATCAGAGGTTTACAGCTTGAACAGGCCTTTTTCTAGAGGGACTGAGGGAGGTGGTTTACTGTGGAAGGTGGTCAGTGGAAGGGCTGTGTACTCATTCACTTCATGCCTAAGTCTGCTGTCACTTACAAACACCTGAAGTCTCTATTCAGCTTTCAGATTTTAATGGGGTGAAGGACAGAGACTATGCAGTTATGTGGCTGTTACTGTGTCCTATGATGAGGTGGCACTGGGCAGTATTCAAGGGAGGACCTAGCACTCCCAGTTCTCCACCTCAATAAATCCATTTCTGCTTTTGTCCCATGTAGTTGAATGTCTAGATGACTCACATGCTTCTACTGTTTTTAGGGGCAGTGGGGGAGACTGCTCTTCATGTAGCTGCCTTGTATGATAATGTGGAGGCTGCAGTGACTTTGATGGAAGCAGCTCCTGAGCTTGTCAATGAGAGGATGACATCAGAGCTCTATGAAGGTAACATCCCAGGGTATGAGGTTGGGCAGGATTCTCTGCAGGGGGAGGGAGGAAGTACTATGTGTGCATTTAGGAAAGTGGCTTTTACTGTTCCTGGTTCAATATATTGCTAAACTGTTACATAGCAAAACCAACATATAAATGGCTCCTGACCATTTGTGGAATTATACTAAACCCAAGTACATACATGTGCAAACATACAAATGTGTAACTGACAAACCCTTAACCACAGGTGGGCCTGTTGGCTATAGTGGGATTGTAAGGATATATACATTTTGCTTTCTGCCATAGACATGTGTAACAAAGGGGACACCTACCTGATCTACTCTGAAAGGAGAAAAAATGGTTCTTTGGTTGACAAAGAGTAGGGATTGAAAGCAAATGTGGCTGCTGCTTTTGAGTCTAGACTCTGAGCCAGGTTTTTCAAGAATGATTCTGATTGACTACACAGAAATGCAAGACAGAATCCTGAAATCACTAAAATAATAATGATGGGGTTTTAAAAATTCTGATACCTAGTTTAATGAATTAGACCATGTCTTCTTTGGGAGCTTTGTCTTGACCTTCATGTCCCACGAAGGAAAGCATAGTCCTTTCTGAGAGACATGAGCTTTTAGTGTGCTTCCTGGAAGAGTGTGGCATGTCTTGTTTTCCATCAGAAAAAAAATCTAGAAGGTGCATCCTGTTGGGTTTTTGTCAAGTTGTAAAGTCAGTTTTCATGAATTCATAGAAGGTTTAAATTGAATGGGACCTCCGGAAGATCTGTAGTCCAACCTTCTGCACACAACAGGGATAACTTCAAAGCTAAATCATATAGCCACTATGGATGCAGTTCCAAAAAACTTAGATTTACCATGAATGAAATGTGAACTGCAGGCTGCTGATCAGCCTCAACTTGCTTTCTTGGAAGGCAAGGTTTTATTTCTGTGTCTTACAGGGCAGACAGCTCTCCACATTGCAGCAGTGAACCAGAACATCACTTTGGTGAAGGCTTTACTCAAGAAAGGGGCCAATGCCTGCACAGCACAGGCCACTGGGCACTTCTTCAGGCGCAGCTCCCAGAATCTTCTCTATTTTGGTACAACCTTATCTTTTCCCCTTGGTGCTGTGGGAGGGAACTAGCAGAGTGCTGAGGGAATATAAGGGAGGCTTGGTTTAGTCCCCATCTAAACCAGATAAGCAGAGGCTCCTGTCTCCAAGTGTCATCAGTCATACACTTTTTAGCAGACAGTATGACTCCATCTGAGTATGTAAATACTACATATAAACATAAATATATAAATCATACACGTTTTATATATTTGCATGTATACAAAAATATATATTGCATAAGAATTCTAATTTAATTTCTTCCTAGCAGCATATACTGCAACTTACTTGTCAACCTTCTTATGAAGATAATCTTAAAAGAATACGTCTTCCTTTTAGTGTTGTGTGGGGCAGGTTGTCTTTTCCCTTCTGAGTAGGATGAGGAGTGGGGCAGGAAGTTTACAGGTTACCTGAAGTAACTCTTCCTTTCATAACCTCTGGCTTCATAGCATGGATAGGTTTCCTTCAGTGTGCTTGAACCTCTCCTGCCTCCCGGAGTCTTAATGTTGTTTCTCCCCCTTCCTTTCTTTGCAGGAGAGCATGTTTTATCATTTGCTGCCTGTGTGGGAAATGAGGAAATCGTGCAGTTACTCATTGAAAATGGAGCTGACATTAGAGCTCAAGATTATCTGGGTATGTGCTGTGAGGTCTCGTGAATTGCATACAGTGCATCTGGACACTTTAAATCAGACTCTGTCATCTGTGCACGCACATATTTTTCTCTCATTACAAATAGCTGTGGGATGAGGGATGCGATGAAAATGAAAGCCACTGTTAATGGCATCAGTCAATTGTCTTTGCACAGGGCTGGGCTATTCCATATAGTTTATGTGGTCTGCTTCTTTCATAGGTAACACTGTTCTTCACATCCTGGTTCTCCAACCTAATAAGACATTTGCCTGCCACATGTACAGCCTGATACTTTCCTATGACAGGAACAAAGAGGGACCAGGATCACTTGAATTGATTCCTAACAATGAGGGGCTTACTCCATTCAAACTGGCTGGAGTTGAGGGCAACACTGTGGTGAGTTTAAGTGACACAGTTGCCTCCATAGAAAAGAGGTTATTCAGATATGGAAAACTTTAAATATCATCCAGACCAAGCAAGTTCGTGCATGTTCTTAGAAGCTAGAAACACATAACAAGTCCTTTTTTTTTTTTTTTTTTTTTTTTTTTTTTTTGCCAGAAGTCTCATGTAGGACCAGAAAACCTATATAAGAAATTTCTTTATCCTAATGAAATAAACGAGTGCTTAAAGAATAGATCTTTTTACCCAATTTTTGAAGCATTTCAGTTAAACAAGTAGAGAAAGATCCACTCCAAGTAATGTCTTAAAAGTCTGACTGAAATTATTGTCTTTGTTGTCTAGATTTCATTACCCTAAATTTGACACATAGGAAACTTCCTCAGGTATCCACAGACATTTATTCATAGTCAAGAACTCAATATTTAATACAAGCTCTCATCCTTCCCCTTAACAAAAAGACAAAGATGGTTAATGTTTCTTTTGTAGATCCACAAATGACAGGATCGTTTCCCTTGTCACACTTCTTTCCTGATAACTTGTAGAAGGGTATAAAATAATTTTTTTTTCTAAGCAGCATATAATTCCATATGAAGTCTGTTGTCAAGATGCATAACTGTGCCGAATAACTTTAGCAGTTTGATAAGAATTTAGAATAAAAATCACTCATCATTTACCTCAAGCATGAGCTCATAATCAAATGGCAGTCAGAAAAAGTTCTTCCAATTCTTAACCTGCTATAATTGTTACTGAGAGATATGAGAACCACAAAATCTATGAAGTTAAAGGAAAACACACTATAGCTAAAGGCTTTTAACAACTTTGTTTTCATTGCAAATACACTATACACTGGAAAGCTTCTGATATCCTCCACCCCTTCTTTTCTCCTCAGATGTTTCAATACCTTATGCAGAAGCGGAAGCACAATCTCTGGTCCTTTGGCCCCTTGACCACTGTGCTCTATGATCTCACAGAGATTGACTCCTGGGCTGAAGATCAGTCCTTCCTTGAGCTCATTGTCTCAACCAAGAAGAGAGAGGTACTGTGGGCACCACATGCTTTCTACGATGTGCAGACCCTTATGATTATAACGGGAGAACAATGATGAGTTTGAAGGTTCAAGCTCTTCTATATTATCCATAGAGCAAGGACTTTGTACCATGTGCTACAGAGAATACATGAAATGTAGCAGCTTTTTAATGATCTGGCTCCATCTGATGTTTTACACACAGTTTCTTCTGAGGTATGAAACTTGCAGATGATTGAAAGAACTTAGTATGAGCAAGCTACAGGAAATTCCATTGTGTAACTCAGTAAAGGGCGCTCTCTCTTTCACCAGGCTCAAAGATATCAGTAACAAATAGCTCTAGAACGGCTCTAGCAAATAGCTTTATATAGCTGTGATACTGATTAACTCTCACAATGTCCCTGTAAGACATAACTATGTTCAGAAATCTTAAACTGGAATGCATTTAAAAACCACTCATTATAATTCTTCCCTTCATTTAAGGACATTGCTAGTCCAGATTATGACTCAAAACAAAGTATGTGAATTATCTCTGCTGTACGCTCAAAAACTTGTAAAGGGATCACTAAGATAAAAATAGCAGAGCGTAATGGCAAGCTTAGACAGATCTGCTTAAGACTTTCAAGGTACACTACCCTATCAGTTGTAATCAACTTAAATAATCCTAATAGGACAGGAAATGAATCAGAAGACACTTTAATAAGCACAATTCTACCCATCCTGTATTATTTCTATCTATCAAAATTTTAGTTAAATGTCTCTAGCAAAAGTTTCAGCTACTGGAGAGCTTTGCACAATGTGGAGAAAGTCTATGAAACTCTTATTTGCCTTTATTTAAAATCCTCTAAATTTCTATGTGTGATGATACATACAGAAGTTCAGGGAGGAGAAGTCTATGTCAGAAAAATAGAACAACCTTAGCAGTTGTCCAGAAGACTAAACCATAATCCTAAAAGAAAGAAGAAAATTGTGCTTCTGTCTTCTCCAGAAACATATAGTACAGGTAGATCCAAGATTCCTGTTTCAGATCCCCAAATACCATGAGATATTATGATTTATTTTCCAGAATGCTCTTAAATATGAGTAATTGAAATTTTTGTATGCATAAATAGTAATTATTTTTTGTATTTCATATATGTTTGGTCCAAAATGTTTGCTGTCTCCTCTAGAAGAATGCAATATCTCACCCCATCCTATCATACCCTCCCAGTCCAGTATTGGACTAGAGTAGGCCCCAAACAGAAGCAGGTTTCTCTTGTATTAAGGGGGATTCACAAGTAAGTACTAAGATATATTTTCTGACCTTTAAGTGGATGAAAAGTGGCAAAAAAGAAAGGTAACTGAGCTACAGGAAGATTATAGTAAGCTTCTAAACTTGTATCATCCTTTTGAAAATGAAATTTTATCTCCTATGCATATTCTAGAATACTGCCTTCTACACAAAACAGAACACTGAAGGCTATCTAGCTAGGTTCATTATCTCTCATTTCCTTTTGATCCTTCAGGATATTTCTTAGGCTATTCAAGAGTCATGTCCATTTACTGAAACATACATATTCCTTGCAGTTTGCTCAATCTGTCTTTGGCTGAGTTAGAGGAAACAGGGCAATGTAGCAAAAGAAGGAAACCATCTAGAGTGCAGTAAGAAGTTTTCCTTTAAAGTAACCTACTCATGCCATTTTGACTTACGTCTCCTTCTTCCTTATTGCAGTGGTCTCGTAAACGTTACAATAGGAAGTAGGTCTAGAAGCATTTAGTAAAGTGTGTGGGTCAAATTCATAAGCAAGGAATATAGTACACCTTGTTTGTCCTACTTACGCTCTAAGTGTCAGTCTTCTACCTGAGGCTGAAGGCATGATATAGATGATTCAATTAAGTATCACCCAGATAATAATGCAGAAACTTAAAGTGTAATATTTTACATAAGCCATGGAGCTTTAGATAAGTACTAATCTCATTTGGAAAAATATTCCAATTTTCTTATCCTAAATCACCTGATACAAAAGACGTGTATTGCTGTACTAACAGGAACATTCTGTCATCCTCAGTTCTGTGTTCCCACACGCTACAAAAAGGTTTATCAGATAAATTTTAGTTGGCGGTCTTTTGTTTTACCCTCAAGATGCCATTAGAACTGAGGGTAATTTCCAATCAATTATATATATGCCTTTGTTTCCCTTTTACAGAAAATTCCTTATTGACATTTTGGTACTTGGTTGGCAACATCAAAAAGGATTATTGGAAAAGCAGCTTATTGCTCATGCAAACCCTGCATCTGTTCTGTGAGAACAGCCAAATAAATTCTTCCCTTCTTTATAGGTAGAGAAAATGCAAATGAAATAACACTGACTGTCTTAAAGCAGCTGAATCCAACTGCTTTTGACTATCTCCGGAGTAGACTGAGCCCCTTCACCTACAAAGCAAACTTTGATCCTTCACACACATACCAGTCATACTCCTTTCTCTATTTGAGTATTTACATATTCTGCTTACATCAATAGAAATTACACTTCCACATATGGAAGACAGATGAAGGACTGCAGGCTCGCTCTTCAGCTGTAGGAAACTGTTACAATTATAGCTTCAGTTCAGCTATACTGATTTCTTCCAGATTGGGAATGGACCTTAAACAGTTATAATGAGATGACAGAAAACCACAAAAAGACTCCATGCTGATTTTCTGGGCTTGCAGGCACCAGTAAACAAAATGTCTTTGTTTTACTTTCACCTTAACAGCATATGGCTTATAACTGCATAATAATTAAAAAAAAAATGTTTTGAAAATACTTCAAAGTGATTCACTTGATTCCAAAGCAGATATCTTGCTCTTCAACTACTGCAGATCTTGGAGGCCATGATAACCTGAGTCAGTATCATCCATCTACTTTGACATTTGTCACTTCTGTGGAACATACTTCCTCACAGTGGGACTCTATGTAGTTTTTGACCACTAGGGAATCAGGGGACAAATTTTTCAAAATAACTCGGTATGAAAAGACCCTAATATTCTCTCTTCCATTTTATTCATATTGGCATAGTGCTCTTCTCACTACAGTGTTAAATACATCCCAATAGTGCATTACGTACTGAAATTAACATCTTTCCCACGTGGTTTATTCTTTCTTCAGACTAGCTTACTAAACACAGCGTCTAGTTTTGAGTGGGCTTGAGAGTGATTACTTTTTTGCACACAATATTGTCTGTTCACATTGGACAAATTAAGCTAAAGAAGTGTACTTGGCCTAGATTCATTCCATCTAATTTTTGTCACCAACTGAAGTATTTAATTAAAGAATACAGATTCCCTAAGATTTACATATTATTGGTAGAGAAATGCAAGTAACTATTTCCAGAGAGCAATTTAGTTCATAGGTCAGCTGAATGGCAGTCTGTAAGACCCTATTGCCTACAAGGAGAGAAATCTTAGGAGAACCACATGACTAATGACAATACCTCCTTTAGGTGCCAAAAGTTATGTGATGGGGTACTTGTAGTAGTGAGACTCTAAGGACATAGATGAGGCAGTTTGTAGGAAGAAGTAATGACATTTATCAGATATTTCATGTAGCCACAATTTCATCTTGTCCTAGGAAAACAGTTAAAAAGAGTGGAGTGACATTGATCTTTCCAAGTTTTATAGTTGTCATCCCAGCAGCAAACCAGTAGATTCACTCAAAGGCATAGATTAGCAATGTTCAACAGAGGAAAAGATGTTGACTTTTTTTCCATATCATCTCACTGTATTTTATTTTTCCTTTATATGCATGTGTGCAAATCGACCAGATCAACCATGAGGGCACGTAAGAAAATTTCTGAATTCTTCCTGTTAGTTTTTGAAATGGAATTATATGATAGGAGAGGCTTTCCTCCAGTGCTTATAACTCCACTGCCTCTTGTCACTTCTAAAACTATGGTGTCAACTTTTTTTGATGAAGCTTTTTGTATAGAATTCCTCAGCTACACAGTATGTTTGGATATATGCAGATCTTTAACAGAAATGCAACCCTGACTTATGCAGCAGCACTACTTTTCATATCATGCAAAATGCTCACTGATGCTTCTATTTATTCCTGGAAATGTGTGTGGTCTTCTAGATATATTTGAGCTGCACTGCTGAGATTCTAAAAAGGAGGACCCAAACTTTGAATATAATATAATCTAAAGGAAGTAAGTTGAAAGAGCCTGGTTTTTCTCACAGTATGTCTCACTGCAAGTGTACTACAGTTTTTATCATCATAGCTGAATGGTGGAAACTTGAAAATACAGTCTATTAACAGGCTGCATTTAGACAGAAATAAAGGATCTTTGGAAATCTTTCCAAGGGCCTCTTAGTTGTCTGCTAAATCAAGGTAATATCAGTGTCAGTTTTTCAAAGACAGCTAATGATCTAAAGGACTTTTTGATATGTTTTCTAGAGATTAAGAGTTTCCACAAATGCTATTGAAGTTGATAGAAATAGCTGTTGAAATCAATGTTACATGTATAAATGAAAAACTCCAATTTGGAGAAAAAAAAATAATCTAAGTGAATTTCACAAGGTTGCACAGAAACTTTTTTCTATAGCTGAAAATTGAATCCAAATTATCTTATTTTCAATTCTGTGTTCTAGTAACGATGTATATTTTGCACAGAGGAGAGTATCTGTCTGCTGTAAAGTGCACTTTGCTGTCTTGCTTAACACAAAATATTCTTCAAAATTGATTCCAGTTACAGTAAAAGACAATTCATGAATTGAAATAGTTTTGTACTTATTTGAATCCCGAGAGATCACAGGATTTATAAACTTTCTCATACTGTAAAGTTAGCCTACCCCTAATATGTATATAACTTAATATAATAATA